CCCCCCCCCCCCCCCCCCCCTCGTCTCCGCTCACAAATGATACACGTCGCCCCGGAAATATAATTTCATGAAGGACGGAAAGTCTCGAGATCGTCAGGTCGTGAGCAACACAGCCAATACCAAGGGCATCTGGCTGGAGCCGCAGACAAAGCAGCGGTTCCGACGAGGAGAAAAAAAGACACCCATCAGGCGAAGGTCTATGTACAATACAGCCGAAGCAAGCCCATCCGGCTGGAGCCGCAGACAACGTTTATACGATAGCAGCACTTCCGACGACAACGAAAAATAAGTGTTGTAAGGGAAAGCACGTGCGAAGGTTTACAATAACGGGAACCTCGCGTGTTTACCGGCAATAGGAGTAACACATACGCCGCGCCCTCTACCTTTCCAAGATCGTCCGCGGCCGATGAACCAAAACGCAGCAAAACCGACCCTCCTACCTTCCTCCCACCAACCTCAACTCCCCTGCCGGGGAGTAACTATTCCACGAGTCATAACTGCGGAGTGGGCTGATGAGAGCATGGTGTCATCAAGGGGTGACGCGCGCAAAAGATGAAAATAAAGCAGGACCAACCCACAGCTGGCTTCCAGCGGCAGCGTGACGTTTTCGGAGGTCGCACCACAGACGTGTGGTTGGCTCGAAGAGTCCACCCCAACCGAAACACACCAAACAAAAAAATATCATGGTACAAATCTGAATGCAGTGGTTGCTACGGTTTACGAGAGGGTAGGGACAAGTCAACAACCTCCTAAACCCGATTCTTCTCTTAAAACTGTGCTGCGAAAAAAACAAATGTTTTCCATAGTCGGGACAGCCAGTCTCTCTTCGACCCGATTTCCTCTCCAACATTCTCTCATAAAACCGTATCCGCTTCTGCACAGGCACACAATCGCTCACCAATGAAAGGAAATGCCGCAAGTCGGAGCCCCAGCTTGTTCCCTCCGAGGGCAACCCCGGGCGAGTAGCGGCCGGTCTCCTTGAACCCGTGGGCCCCTCTCAGTGGCTGTACCACCTGTAGATCCCCCACCCCCGCCATCAAAACGAAAAACATGTTGAGCGTGCGTTTTCGAATCAGGGCTGAGGAGGTGCGTGGTCACTCACCAGACGTTCTGAGGGGAACAAAAACGAAAATAGTCTACGGCTGCTGAGGCCCGCTCAAGTCTACAAGACGACAGAGGTAAAAAGAAACGTGTACATCCAGGTAGAGACCATCGCTCCTGAGGCCGGCCGAAAACCGGGCAGCTGAGTCGTCCAAAATGCGCACTACCAGGGCCAGTCAGTCAGCCAAGCCGCTTATTGGCACATACGGATCGCTGAAGTCCACCCCAATACCCGGAAGATGGGTCATGAACTAACCCCAAACGAACGCTCACCCCACCTGGGCTACTACTCAGTCAACCCCTTGCCAAAATGTAGTACGGTACGGATGTCAATAGGTATTGCGCGGAGACCAGGACGTTCCCTTTTAGTCTTCATTTGTGCTCCCACGAGGACCGCATACGCAGGATTTTAAAAGAGTATCTAGAAAAAGAATAAGGAGGGGGCACGCAAACCCTATCGCAAACCCTAAACCTAACCCCAAAGCACGGACTGAATTCTTTATCCCATATGTCTGCACAATCGATTTTGCTGCGTAGACTACCGTCCCAAGAAAACAATAAAAAATAATACTGGAGTATATATATTTATATACATGCATGCTCGTTGTGTTGTTGTAGGGAACATTGACGAAGAAAAGAACAACAGCAGCTGTCGCGGTTATTACCTGCGGGTGCCAAGAGATGGCGTGGAACAGGAAGGTGGAAGCTCCCTTCTGCGTACCCGGAACGAACACGCTGGGAGCGCACTGGAAACCCGCCTGCTCCCTCGCCAAGATGGGGGGCGGGGCACCGCTCTTACTGTCCGGGAGGCTGAACGCACGCGCGCACACAGTGGTTAAGGGAAGTTAGCGTCCGTTCTTTTTTGGGAAATCACGGGAATCCGTTTCGNCATCACCAAGCGCGAAGCGTCGTGAGATATTTGGCGAGTCGCATGAAGGGTGCGCTGCATCCTGCTAACGGTTTTCGGCATCTTGTGCTTGCTTCCTTGCGTACGGATGACTTAATATTCTTTCTGGTGCTTGCACTTCCAGAGACAGTTGTAAGCACTGTGTAACTGCCTCGAGGGTGCTTGACCATTTTAACACAACGTGGTGCGATTATCCNGGGGGGGGGGGGGGGGGGGGGGGGGGGGGGGGGGGGGGGGGGGGGGGGGGGGGGGGGGGGGGGCGTTTCGACTGCACATGTGTACCCGATGAATGTTTGCAAAAATTCTTGTGAAAAACAGTCTTGGGACGCCCGCCGCCTTTGTGGGACGCGGAACGCCTTTGGAGGCGATCTCGGGGGCGCTTTTTGCTAAATACTACTTCCCGCCTACCCAACTATCGTCGGGGAAAACGCCTCCCCTTCTTCATCAACACCACCGTGTCGACACAGTCACGTGCACGAACTCAATAACAAACCCACCTCGAACGAGCGACGACAATACAACACCTTCTTGGCAAAAAACAGAGACGTCCACGTGCTACGACCCCTCACCACGCCGCTGCACCTCCCGCCCCCCCCACAAAAGTCGCGTGCCCCTCCCCCTCCCTGGCCTCTGTGGCGCGTCATAAGACCCAGTCTTACACTGTTCACCTGGCGGTGTTCCAATGCCCGCAGGGTATCCGGCACGACTCCGAGACGTGCTGAGGCTTCCACCTGGTGAGCCGCAGCCTCGAGAACACCTCCGCCCACAAGCTCCCCTCGCCGGGCTCCCTCCACAGCCCGTCCGAGGCCGAGGGCCCCATCCACAGCAAGCTAACCCTATCTGCGTCGCCCCCTCCTGCAGGCGTTGTTGCAACCAAGGCCCTTGCGTCCGTCGCGGCACCGCCGCCCCCGGCGACGCGAGGGTCGCCGGGGGCGAGGCTGTCGAGTCGCCGTCTCCTCGCTCGTATTCCTTGGCCGAATTTTTTTACCTCGGTGGAGCTGGCGCGGCTCCCAAGACCATCCCCTTCCTCCGCCTGCTCCCCGTCTTTTTCCGCCGAGGTGGCAGCGGAGGGATCGCTGCGGCCGTCGGCCACATCACCGCCGTCATCATCAGCACTCCCTCTTAGACCTGCCGCAGCGCCGGCACCACCGCCGCCACCCTGTCCCGCCTCCCCCAGCTCATCATCCGCGTCGTCGCTAGCGCGGACCCCCACTCCGACAAGCCTTTCACCACGTTCCTCCTTGTCATCATCGGGACGCCTCTCGCCGACCGTAACCCCGGCATCATCGTCGTCGTCCTCCGACCGCTCCTCGAGGCCCTCTCCCTCCGCCCCTATCCCCGCCTCCGCCAGCACCCCGACGAACTCCTTCGCCGCCGCGAGGGCCACAAGTTCCGGTTTCCCGGTGTCGTCGTCCTCTGCCGCTGAAGCCGCCACCGCCAGCGGTAGGCCCTGCCCCTCCCTGTCCTCATCCGTCGTCCTGGCTGTTCCCCCCGTCTTGTCATCGCCGCTGCCTCCTCTGGCGCCTTCGCTGTTGTCTTCGCGCGAGGCCGAGAGAAGGTCCTTGCGGGCCTCCATCGAGCTAGCTTCCCGGCCTGGCAGCAGCAAGGAAAAACGTGCGCGTCTGTGATGTTAGAATCGACCACGCTAATAGCCGGCTGACCAAACAAAAGATGTCAGTCTTGCGTGTGTCCTTCCTTCCTTCGTGTGTGTGTGTTTCTGTTTCTATATGTTTAACATCGACCGCGCCCACCGGCTGACCAGTACATTTTTGTGCGTCTGTGTTTTACGAGCATCCACCGTGCTACAGATGGCGCCCGCACTCAAGAACCTCTATTATAGTTTCGGCCGAGGCTGGGGTCCTTACTTTGCTGATCATCCTCTTGTGGGCTACAAATGGCCGCTATATAGGTGTTAGTGTGGGGTTCTTAACCGAGCTCACAAATGGTGCTCAAGTTCTTAGCTTCTAATTTTTTGCGAGGTCTCAATTTCTCAACCGCTAAGTTCTTAAGTGCGGGCGCTATCTGTAACCGGTTGACCGAAAAAACGAAATCAGTCTTGTGTGTGTCTGCGTGTGTTTGTTTCTACCATGAGCAGAGACCGCGCTAACCAGCATACCAACAAAAAGACGTCAATCTCAGTTCGGCCTAAAACATGGAAAAAATGCTTCCGAAGACCACGACCTGGGATCCAGTGAGTGGGCTTCACGGGCCAGGCGAAGGTGCAAGTGTATGCACAGTGTGCGTGCGGAACACCAACATCTTGGTTACGATTGCAGTGGTCCCCGTACAAGGCAGCATGCTGCCAAAGGATAAGCCGGTCTTTTACCGCGCATCCCGCCCTATACATCCAGAGTATTAGAACCACTTGACTTCCATCCACGTCCCGCAAAATCACCGGCCAAATACCGAGCGACAGGCCTTGTTAAAACTGACGTGTCCTGATAAACCACTGTATACACCCTCGTCAGAATCATCCTACGGAATCATCGTCAGGATTACCATCGTCCGAAGCTGTATCTTGTTTGTGGGGTCTATACGCACGACTAGAATGGACACCAATAATAGCAAAAACTTTGTTGAAGAGAATGGTACTCGGTCGAATCCCGGACCATGCATGTCACTTCAGAACAAACTTGACAGCATTCGAGGCGTTCCCACACGCGTCTATGTACCCGTGTCCCTTGCACAAGAAACGGTTCTCCATAAGAAATATCCAGTGCATCTCAGAGGCCCAAAATCTGACCAGTCGTTCTTCGCTGCATACGATAACGAAGGACACCAAGGAATAATCTCCTTTACCTTCCAGCACGAGTGCCAGTCAGATATCGTCCACTGTCCACTGCGGCACCTTATTTCCTTCACCCCACCCAACATGACTTCAGGGGGCGGNGGGGGGGGGGGGGGGGGGGGGGGGGGGGGGGGGGGGGGGGGGGGGGGGGGGGGGGGGGGGGGGCACCGCAGATTGAGCGACTACATCTAGTCGTGGTTCCGATACCAGAGGGTCGCAATCAGTTGCCACGGACTCGACCCCTTCTAGTTGGCTTACCCTCTTATTCTTATTCTATTCCGGTGTAAGAGGGGGCTCCGATGTAAAAGGGTCGAGGGCCTTTATCACACCACCCTCTTATATCGGAACAACCATTGTACGCAGAAATTGACACGCACAACGCTGACCGTGTCCCTGTCACCGTGGAAGGCATTGCGCCTCGGTAAATGTTTGAATGCTGGGAGGTGTTGGGCAGCAGAAAATCGAGCTTTTTTTCACTGCGAAGGCAACGACCAACACCAAACACCATCAAAGGCGACAAACCGAGTTTTTTTCCCGGTCCCGTTTTTGCCTAGTTGTACGCCGCCTCACGACTTCTGTATCGATGACGGTACGGTGCGAACCTTGTTCATTGGCGATGATATTGCTCTCGCTGGGTGGCATTGACCCGTTCGAGGAAGCCGTTTCCGAGCCTGATTCCGGCGGTGGCGAAAAAGTAACCGGNGGGGGGGGGGGGGGGGGGGGGGGGCGGAAGCGGATGAAGAAAGACGAGGGAAAGGGGGGGAGGGTCGAAGAAGAACGAGAGCGGATGAAGAAAGGCGAGAGAACGGCGGGTGGAGACAGACGAGACCAGTCCATGAAAAGAACAACAGTCGATATGACCACCGCCCGACCAAATAAGAAATAGCCGGGGGGGGACTGCAGATAGCACGCGTGGCGTCACCCAGGATCAACAACAGCAAAGTCAAGAACGCAAACAAACGTGCACAGAAACGCCGCGCCCCGTTGTAAAGCAAGCGCTTGCGTCCACGGAAACTCGTGTCTGCGCCACCATGTCATAACGAGGAGCGAACTAGACAAGAGAACAGGGTCAGGGCGGTTTCGCCGCCAACACAATTAACACCAAGGAGAGAGCAATAACAATATCAACAACAGTTCCAGAGACCAGAGGTGCATTCAAGCGCATGCCGTGGCCATGGACCTCGCATCCCTCCTACGCCGGGACGGAGCGATATGATGGTTTTTCGTGGCATGAGGGGGGGGGGTTCTCTGGCATTTCCAGTAGTACTGTCCCATGACCGCGGCTAACCAGTATTTTCGCTTCAGTTTCAAAGGAGCATACCGCGCGTGAGACAAGGATAGACGAGGTCCGCCCCCACGGATATGTCCCCAAGTAGACTTATCACCAGTGGTGTGGTAAATATCAGAGAAAGGACAGCGCTTGCCTGGACTGATTTCTCGTTGGTTTGACTGGCGAGAACGAAGCGGTGAGTCCAAACAACACGCGGAAGTGGCCTCCGACCACATGGCTAAAAAAAAAAATGGAGAAACTCAAAAACACGCGGCGGGTACAAGGCCAAGAGAAAGAGAAACGGTCCAACACCGGGGGGGGGGGGGGGGGGAGCTTGTTTTACAACGTCGGGGCCAAGCGAC